CTGCCCGCAGCTGCGCCTCGCCTGTGACACGGAGCGTGTCGGCTCCCCAGGCAGCCTGGGCTAATGGCATGCCGTGCTCCAGGCCCGATCTTTTTTGTAAGGTTACCAAAGTCTAACTGCGCGCAGTTGTGCTGTTTAAATTTTTTCTTAAAATGAAATAAATCCAAGCTGCAACAAAGTGATCGTTCTCTGGCTTCAAGTTTCTCTGTTACTAAATAACACAGAAAAATAGTTACAATAGCGTTGGTGGCACTAGAATCGGAGGAAGTTTGCAGTTCTGCCTCCCGCTATGAACGTACCGAGTGTGTGCCAGGCTGGACTGTACCCACTGATTGTGAATTAGACTACGGTAGTGATGGACTTGATTATAACTCACTGCATGGATGAAGTGAAAAAATACTGATTGTGCAGTCAAAGTAGAGACAATAGACTTGAGGAGTCGTGTCTTCTGGAATTGAAAGTAAATGGAATGGGATCTGTTAATTTGCATTGTTGCAAAAATTATTTGGCTCTCTTAGGTTCCCTCTTCTGTCACAAGTATAAAGGAAATCGTTTTGGAATATGACAGAAGAATTAATTTCTATTCTATGGAACGATCTCTCTTGGTTGCTTATTCATATTGTTAGGATAGGCCAGCCTTGGGACAAGCTGTTGAGCTTAACTAAAGAGTGTAAATCCTATTGAGAGTGAGCAGGTCTATTTATTATTAATCAAAGTTATTTATGAAAGATACATATGACAGTCTAATTCACAGTAAAGTCAAACATTGTGGGAATCAGGAGTTTACAAGAGGATACAGTTAGAGCTCAGAGAGTGATTTTTTCATTCAGGCATCAAGTTACTGGTATAAATATAAAGCAAAAATACAAGAGAAAATGTGAGTTTGCATTTTAGAAAATTTAGACTGTTGAGTCAGAATTCTGACAAAGTCAAACTTTGGGTATGTGCCTGCTTAGGAAGCTAGTGATGAATGTAAAAAACCCAGGAGATGTTTCTAGTTAATGCTGATCAATTCTGATCTTGTATTTGTTTATGACGTGGTTTTGTTTCTTTTTGTTCCTACAATAGATAGCACTCCCTTATTCAGGATTCCATGTACCAGAACTGCGGATGTCAAAAGGCTTTCTACTGCAGTTATTTCAACAAATCAGTGTCAAGCTGCATATATTATCTAGCTCTTATATATTTATATTTTGGTGAACATCTGTGTTCTATTCTGAAGAGACTAACAGGTCTGTTCCTCAATTTTCAAAAGCAAATTTTTGATCTCACTTCTTTCTTGCATTTCTTCATCATCATGGATATCTGTTACTTACTGACATTAAAAAAAAAACATTCACAATGGTCTGTTTGTCTTCAGAGCAACAGTTGTGCTCTCCTGTTCTTTTCTAGCTATGGAAGCATCCTAATCCCTGAATGGAGTGTTAGATGATGCCACAATGTGAGTGATACGATAATTAGCAAGGGTTCATCAGTTTTAATTATGCATAAATACATATTTACAGCCTAATCTTAACATTTTACAGGCTTTTTTGAGAAATATCTTTATGGATTCCTACAACTTGGCTGCAGGCAGAGAACCTGTTGGCTCTGAAAAGTTGCTGTTGTTATGGTACTGTATCTGTGAGTAGCCCTAAATACTGGCTCAGGATGAGAATAGGTGAACTACTAAAGTGCAGCTCTAAAAGGTGTGGAAATAATAAAGAAAGGTGGACCTTTTTAACTAAGATTACATCTTTTTAATTTTTTGGAGGAGATTCAGTAAAGCTTTTTACATATTTTTGGAAAAAAGTGTAGAGTTTTTGTGGAGCAAATTGTGCACCCAGCTTGATAAGACTGAAGTTATACTGGAGGGTCTGTGGTGTTTACCAGCCACAACTGTTTTCCAGTTGGAACTCACAGAGGTGTGGAGCACTGAAGGGAAGTAGTGGCCTGAGATTTTCCTAAAGGCTCTGAAAGTGCAAAACACATGGCCGTTCCTAGATGGGCATGTTTTCAACATGCTGCTCAGTCTGGATTTTGTATTAAAGCACAAAATCTGTTAAACTGAAATCTGCCTGGAGTAAGTGGTAATAATGGAGGTAAATTTCTTAAAGATGAGCAACGAGGATGCAAGTGTCCTCACTGAGAGCAGTACAGTTAATGAAAATATTTTAGCAGAAGCCCTGAATTTCTAATGCTGCTTCTCTGTAGCTTTTAAAAGTCTCTCTCTCTCGATATAAATATCCTTCTTCCCGTAAGTAGGAAGGAGAGTTGAGAGTGACTGAAGGACGGTTCAGGTCTAATGAAGGGAGCGTGGAACAGGTGATACAGGCATGCACTGCTGCATGATATGAGAGATGCACCACACTGGTCTGCAGGCTTTGCATGAATGTGGTTTGATTCCCACCCTC